CTTGGAAAATGCCAGCTCTTTGTTTTCACTTCTTTTTTTTTTTGACTATGGAAAAATAATAGAGCAAGTCTTCTGCTGCAAACAACTCAAAGAGATCACTACAGGTCAGAAAGTTTTAAACACTGTGGATTCTTATGGGTAATCTCTGGGCTTATCTTGTGTTTCATGTTCATACACCTAACAATGCTAACATGGTGTGGCACCCCATGGCATCCTTGAAGGGATCTCATGGTACCCTGGTTAGGAATCTAGGGGCATGGTCACTGCTCTTGCTGTATCTGTGTGCGCATACAAGATATCTGACACTGAGCTCTGACCTTTGGCTCTTCCACTAGGATGAGCGAACATTCAGCTGCTCTGTCATTTCTTACCAGTGAGAAATCATGAGACTGTATTGAAAAATCATGATTTTTGATTTATTTCTTTTTATACAAAAATGGATCACTTTGTTTGCCTTCCAATTTGAACATTGAGTGTGCACTTACTTCATGTAGCAAACTTTTTCTCTCCAACAATGATGGCTGGAAACCTTTTTTCCCCTCCCTTCCTTCCCCCCACCCCCCTTTTCTTTTTTTAATGAAAAAATGAGATTCTTACAGAGGCCCTTGACTTCAGTGAGCCTAGTTTGGATGGAAAACTGCTGGTTATCAGGACAATCATGAGAACACTGCAAGAACCTGCAACGTGGCTTCTGTGTGATGAAGCCAGATTTCTGTTTTACAGCTTAATGAAAACCCGCACTCCATATGGAAAAACAAAAACCAAAAAAAAAAAGGTACTTTATTTATAAAGTCTACAAAATACAGAGGAGTCAGACAGGACATTTACTGTAAGTCAGAAAATAAATATGTTTTTTGTTTTTGTTCTATATAAGTATACGATAAAATGTGATTTGCATATATAAAATATAAAGTACGGCTCTGTACCAACATCCTGGCTGTGCCAAGAGGTGGAATGGCAAAGAGGATGTGAAAATAACTTATGTTCGTGCAATAAATTAACCATTGAGGAATTGGAGAGGGGAGAGAGGAGAAGGTGGGAGGGGGAAATGCCAAATGTGGGACCTTCTACTAGGTGAGTTGAGGGGAGGACACAGGTTGGACCTACCTATCTGGAGGTGGCTGCAGCACTGCAGTGGGTGGCACGCAGGCTCCAGGGAGGGGTTGTGCTTAAGTGGGTCTGAGAAATGAAGGGGATAATCATATATTGTGTCAAGTGCCTCAAAATAACTGGCTAGCATTACCCTCACTGACCCTGCCACATCTTCCCTATTGAGGGACCTATACTTCTTCCCCCATGCCCAAGCTTTCTGAAGAGTATTGCACCTTCAGGTGGCTTCCATGAGACAGTGGCCACCAGGGGCAAGGATTGGAAAAGATGCCTATGACTGAAGAAATAGTCCTTGGTCTCAAGCCATGAGCTGGGCTCTCAGCCTTTGTGCTTTCCTTAGCTCATGAAAAGGGTGCTGGGCGTGGAGGCAGAAGGCTTGGCTTCTATTCTTGGCTCTGCCACTCCCATGATTTGTGATCATGAGCAAGTCATGTCACCTCCCCATGCTTCCCTTTCCCTTCCCAACCACTGCCAGTTTAAATGGCAAGCTCTCTGAGGCAGGAACCACCGCAACATGGGTTTGTACAGTGCCTGGAACAAGGTGGTGCCAGTCTTCACAGGGACATTCAAGTGCAACGTAACATCAGTAATAGCCTTATCTCCACGACAGCTGTGTTTACTTCCAGCCAGGTGCTTTTTCTATTTTTTCAATGAGACTCACTATGCCATGCCTGGAATGATACTGCAGCCAGGAAAAGGTGACGGATGTGTGTGTTTAGGGAGATAAAAACATGCCCCTCTCCTCCCTTTCCCCAAAATGAAACACTGTCTTTCAAGTTAGAGAATCAAAGAGGATATTTCAATGTATTAACTGCTTACGGGACCCACCTGCCTGCTTGGGAAGTTACAGTTTCTGTATTATTTATCTAGCTTGGCAAATGACAGATAGATAACAGCTTCCTTCTGATTGGCACATCTCGGTGGTAAGTTTGGAATTTGGTCTGTCTCCCTAGTTCCCTACCTGAATTCCAGAAGGTACCATGTGTGCTGCGCCCCACCTTCCACTTGCCTCAAATTCCTCTCTCTACATTTTTGCATCTTTTGATTTCTGTCGTCACAAAATGCAACCAAAACGTTCTCTGGCCCCAATTCCCCTCATTCAGATGCATTCCTGCCACTCTTCCTCTGTCCGTCAGTCTCGCATACTTTGTTCTCCTTCTATTGCTCTACATTCCCTTTCTCTCTTCCTCCCGCCCTCTTCCACTACCCAGGTCTTTCTCATTCTAAAGCTGCCGGTAGTTCCCTTCCAGACAGGAGATCTTAGAAATTTAACTTCACTGTGATAGCACTGGAGGGAGATGTCATTGGCTCCATCCCATGTTATACTCACCCCTGCAGCTGAATCAATGGCTTGAGTGTGGTAATTCCCATGGTGTCTAGTACATGTTGAAGTTGGGTGTCACATGCTGACCCGATCTAAAACAGCTGCCACAGAGACCTGTTCTCCCTTTCACACACCATCCTACATTCACCTTCCTCTCTCTATTGAACATGACCCTCTTTCCCCCACGCACTGCCTAGTTCCTCTGATTACTTCCCACTCCCTGCAACATCTGCTTACCCCCATGGGGGAGCCTCTGTTCTTTCCTCTTTTGGTACAGGGTATTTCAAGCTTTTTCTGGAAAGGCACGGAGAGAGCAGTAGGGTAACTAAACAGGAGTCAGGGGGAGATGACTGGGTGCTGCCTCTGTTAGGGGGGTGCAAAAATAATCAGAGCCACAATGATGGTTGACTGCATTGTGACAATCAGCATCATGGCAGCTGGCACTGTCCTGGGCATTACACTGCTGCCCAAGGCCACTGGGGAGAGCTGAAATGTAGTTGATGCGGGAAAGGGCAGGGAAGGCTGTGGACTATTAGACTGGGAGGTCACAGCAGCTCTTGGTAAGTCTCTGGACGGATATTCCAATCCCTGCACCGTGCTCTATTAAGCAGAATAGGCCATTAAGATGGCTCCCAGTTCTCCCTCTCTTTCTTCCTACACAAGCCTTGGTGCCAAGCATCCAAAGATGCTGTGCCCCTGACAGAGAGAAGTGAGAGGGTTTTCCCCACATCTAAAGCCAGGAGGGACAAGGGCAGGGAAAGGAAAGAGGGGACTTTTGAACATAAGACGAGTGTGTGTGGGTTTTTGGTGGGTGGGGGTGCAGGGGGAACTCGAGGATTCACCTGTGGGGGACAGGCCTGAGCCACCACATGGTCTAAGGCAGGTGGAGGAGGGGACAGGGAAGAGGAGAGGTAAGGGCTGAGGGTTCTGGGGGTCTTCAAGTTGATTCTGGCCCTGGGAGGGGCTGGGGGAGGAGCCAGTGCAGCTGCAGTCCATTCTAGGTAGAGAGCTGGGCCCAGCCATGGAGAGAGGACTCAATTCACGGCAGGGCAGGCAGGCACTAGGAGCATGTGGCCTGGTTGGTACTGGATTTGACGATGGTGATGACGCTCGCAGGGGCCACCTTGGCAGCTGGGCCATGAGCAGCAACGGTGCGGGCAAAGCCCTGCAGGGCCTCGTACTTGCCTCGCAGGGTGTCCAGCTCAAGGCGCATGGCAGCATTCTCACGGGCCAACTTGTCCACCTCCCACTCCAGCTCCATCTTCTGCTTCTGCAGCTCCTCCTTCTGGCAGACACGCTTAACCCGGCAGCTGGCTGCATAGCCACGGTTCTTCAGCGTACGCCGGCGCTGCTTTAGGCGTGCCACCTCTTCCTTGGAGAGGCCCCGTAGGTGGTGGTTCAGCTCCCGCACTGACAACCCCATCAGCTCCTCATCCGACAACAGGGGTGTGTTCTCGCCCATCTCGCGCTTGATCTGGCCGGGAGAAGAGAGCAGTGGGGTGGTGAGGCAGACGGGAAAACAGGACAGAGGCAGAGGGTCAAGAAGGGAGCAGGAAAGGATGGGGAAGAGGAGCAGGTGACAGAATAGGATGCATTTGCCTTTCCTGCTAGCACTGAGCGTTGGCCCGAGTCAGAGAAGGCATCCTGCCAGCTGCGTACTCATGCTCCTAGTGGTACTGAGGAACCTCAGGGGCCTGGTGGGTTTTGCTCACACACTTAAGGTCAAGGTCAAGGTCAAGTGCCAGAACTGGGGTTAAGAAGGCAATTTCCCCCTAAGTCAGATCAGCAGAGACTGTTGGGGCTCTCAGCCTTCTTTTTTCAGATGAAGCACAGTCCATTTCCTAGGATCCTCTAGGCCTATTTCACCATACCAGTTCTCTGCCATTGCACTACACCCAGGCATTAGGGTTACCCTTATCTCCCCTGCTCTCTTTCTCTAGCATGCTGCCTGGATTTTGTACTCGAGATTTTAAATTCATTAGGTGGTGCTTTGTAAGGCAGGGCCAGAGTGGGCGTTTTTGTCGACCCTTAGGGACTTAATGTCTATTACGTGGTTACCTGTGACTGGAGGGGACAACACTTGATGACTTGGACGGTCCTGTCCAAGCCTGGAGCTTTAGGAGTGGAAGAGGGACGGAGGGAGGAGAGAGGAAAACAACAGAGTAAGACGGAAGCAAGGGAGGGATAAGGCAGGGGAGGGAGGCAGAGACACTTGCTGACCCACTCTTACCTTCAGGGCTTTGCTTGATAAGCTGTCTGCAGCCATATTCTTTGGCAGTCACACTCCTAAAATGTGGACCCTGCAACCAGGCCAGAGAGACATCATGGTCATTCTGAGCCCCCCTTGTTCATTTCATGCTACAGAGCCCCTCGGCGGTGGTGAGGGGCAGACAGTGTTCTCCCCGTATCCCTCCTCACCATCCCTCACCTCAGCCTGCCACGGCTGGAGCACAAACCTCCTGGTCCCATCATCATGGCTGTGTGGATGTCAGGTACACAGCTCCAAATTACTGGTCCCACACACACACCTCCAAAATGCAGATTTTCTTCCCATCCTTCATCCCCTCCAAATGGCCAGTGGCAGCTGGAGCCCTAACTGGGCCCCCACTGCAAGCTCCCACTTGCCCTATCCCTGTGGGTCTCCCCTGAGGTCTTCCCAGACTGGGCTGCTCTGGGAAAACACAGCAGAGCCAAGCTTTGCTAACAGAAAGGAAACATCAGGGGGAGGGCGGCAGCGGGAGGGTGTGCCCCTGAAACAGCAGGGCCTGGAAAGGATGCAGAAGGGAAAGTAAAACCAGCACAGACAAACAGGACACAGCTCAGCAGGGAGGGAGCGGAAGAGCTGTTTGGATACCAGGGAGTGGCAAACTAGAAAGCACAGGAGTCTCTGCTCTTTAGGGACTGAACTCCCCCCTCCATCCTCCCCAGATCATCTCATGCCAGGCCAGAGATCCTTCCCTGTCTGTGGTGCTGCCTGACTCAGCGTCCTGTAGGCTTGGGACAGATTTTAGCCCCCCTTAACTGTCCTCCCTGGGTCCTGGGCTGGGATCTGGACCTCTGTCAACACAGCAGAATCCCTGCTGACAAGTGGGAGGGAAAGGGCTGGGGTCTCTGGGCCAGGCAGATTGGTGCTGGAAGCCCTTATTGTAAGTGGAGGGGTCTGGTGGTAAAACCATGTGTGTTGCTTTGCCTAGGATGGAGGAGTGGGGCAGGAGAACAAAGCCACCTCACATGCTGCTCTCCTCTGGGCATCCACTGTGCACACTGGCTGCATTTTCTCTCCTTCAGCCAAAGCCACAGCGAGGATGGAAACTACAGACCTGCACTACAAGATTCTCCTTGTGGCTGAGAGGCTGTGGAAGGGCAATTTTGCAAGTGTCAGCAGGGGCCCTGGATCCACTGAAAGCCAAGGCACCAGGGGGCTGAGAATGGAGTTTGATGGCACTTCAGAACTGGGCCAGTCTAAAACAGGCTGCCCCAGCCAGTATGCACTTGTAGGCACAGGGGCTCCAGGGTCCTAAGAGACGTGTATGCATGGGGAAGGCAAAGGGCGAAGGCATGTGGACGATGAAACCTTATAAGCTTTGACTCAAATACATCCAGAATTTGCCATGTTGCCAAAGAACAGTCACCACCCACCGATGGCCCTTTCCGACTCCTCGTGTCCTCTAAACCCCATCCAGTTTCTTTCTAAGCCATATGCCCTTAAGGGGTTGTGGGTGGATGCTGCCTCCTCCCCTCAGAATGGGAGTCAGGGATTAAGCAAGGGAAGCAAGGAAGAGAAACTGCTGCTTGCTCCTGTTTCTTTGCTGAAACATGCCTGGGCATGATGTTAGCAACAAGAACAACTAAGCTGGGCACCAGCCCAAGGGCTGGGGGCTTAGAAGGAAGCCCAAAACTTATGAAGCCCAACCCCACAGAGGTGGAAGGGCATAAGGCACTAGCCCTGAACCTCCAAAACCCAGACAGCCAGACCCCTGGCAGTACAGTATGTAGGACACTGCCCCAGTGGTTCCCACTGATGTAACGGGGGATGAGAGAAGGCAGGTTTGAGCTGGGAATAACTCCCTGGGCAAGTCAAGAACAGGGCACCTGTCCCATGCATGCCTGACTGCCCTGTGGCAGGCAAGAAGTCTTGGGAGCCAGAGCTTCCCCCCATGACCGCAGAAATTAAGCCACAGATCCCTCATGCCAACATGCTCGTGCCATCCTTCAGACAGAAGTGCCAATCAGCTTTCCAACGGGACGTGCAGTGGTAGTCTCACTACCTAGCCTAAATGCCCACAAAGCATTCCTGTGCTCTGTCAAACAGCAGGCACCTTCCACCTCGGAGATGACTGCAGCTGGTGTGTGCCCAGATATGCCTGTACCCGTCATACATGCCTACATATCTCTATGTCCCCTGCCAGGGACAGTGTGACCACCGTGGAACCATGGAGCCACCAGCTTGGACAAAGCTTATTCTCAGTACCCAAAGGTGACAGGACCTCAAGCTGAGGGGGCTATGTGAGAACTCTCTCATTCCCTAACCCACCACCCTTTCCTTATCTCTGCCCCAAGGACAGGTGTGGAAATAGCAAGTGGCAAAGGTTCCAGGGCCTATCGTCAAATTAATCAAACATGTGGGGAATAGGGGAAAGAACAGAAACAAGGGGCTAGAGAGAAGAGGTGTGTGGGAGGAAGAAAAACCATTTCACCATGACTTGGCACAGGGAGAGGACAGGTCACCAAGGCTGCTCACACCGCCTGGCTGGTAACTCTCCCACTATTACTGGGCAGGAAAGGATGCAACCATGATTATAATCAAACAGCCTGGTTCTAGTGCTATAGCAACAAGCTTCCAGGGTAAGAGGTTTGGGGAAAAGAATACCGAACGAAAATGGAGTAGGGAAAATTACAGTAGACTAGGAAATGGGGTAGGGTGTGCCAGACCTTGGACACAAGGGCAAGGAACCGGAATCTGATGCAACAAGTGGCAGGAAGCAAATGGATGGAGACCATGGAAAGGGTGACTTGGGCACAGCAGTGGGTGAAGCCAGGAGCTCACAAAGTGGAATAACTGACTACCTGGATGTGAGGAGAGATCAGGGGCAGGAGGCCAGTAAGCAAGACAAAAACCAAAATGGTTGCTGCATGGAAAAAATAGATCCTCCACTAGCTTAAGGCCATTTCAGCTCAGCACAAGAACACTTGGTTAGGATCTCTCTGCCTCTGTCCCACGTGAAAGGCCTCTTCACTTCAAATTCACTAGAACAGTCACCTGGGCTACCTGGTTTGCTGGAGGCAGGAAGGTCTGTTCCAATGTCCCAACCAGAAAGAAGGCCCCCTCTTAGAGCTACTGTTGAGGATAGGGAAGGAACTGCCCTCCAGGCCTTTGAGAAACAGGGGTTTGATATGAAAGCTGAGCTCTCTCAGGAAAGGAACCAGAGATCTGGTGCATCATGGGCATTAGACTCCCTGACATGGTGCCCACGTGTGGTCAACACATTACACTATGTTCACCTTGCTGCACATTCAGTCCCTGACATTCCCTGTAGTTTAAAATAAATATGAGCTATCTCCAGTCAGGGCAGCTATTAGGGATGTGATTTTTAGCCCACACAAAGGGCTGAGATTTCAATTACTGCAGATCTGACAGAAACCTCACTTGGCTTTCCCACTGGGGAGGTGTGTGGAGATGTTACAATTCAGATGTCATTTTCTATGATTTTATGGGAAAAGAAGAGCGATGTCCTGGTAGCTAAAGGCACACAGATATCACAGTAATGGTCTGCCATTCGCCATGTAAGACTGGTAAACAGGACACCCAGCAGGGAGCACTGGTTTGATCAGTGCTCAGCTCCATCCCTGCTTAAGATCTAGCACAAGGAACTGGGCTAGTGCAGGTGTCCTTTCCCTCTTGGCATAGCTACCAGGAAGAGCTCTGGGGCCTTATATTCAAATGCAATCATCACCTGTACTTCCCACCAATTTCACCTGTTGTTGCCAGCCATCAACACCTCTGAATATCATGCCTGTCAGCTGGACTCTCTGCTTGTGTGAATCAGCTCACCATGCTGGACTGTAAAAGAAGGATGCCTGTTTTATACCAGCAAAGAGCCTGTCCCCTCTGTGTCTAATGAGATGATGTAAGCCGTGGTCCAACAGAGGACTTCAGAGACTTGAACCAGTTCTAACACCTGATGCTAAATGCTACCCACCTCCGTTGGAAGCATCTCTAAGAGGGGGTGGGTTGCGGTGGAAGGTGCCACATGCGCCAGTAAAAACACTGCTAGTAGCATCTACTTCTAGTAACATCTTTACAGTAGGGCAGTGACCTTTGCTGTAAGCAAAGCCAGGCCTCAAGACAAACTTTCGGTTCAAGAAGGAATCTCCATTTGCGATAAGGGAATATCAAAGGGAAACACTCCCCCACTGCAGAAGTGGGTCTGACCTCCTTGGATAAAGGAGGTTGCTCACACAGCACAGGAGGGCAGCTGCCAGCGTATGCACCGTGGGTGGTAGCTGGGGGTATCCGAGCTAAGGGGAACTGATGAGTGGAGTGTGGGTGGGAGGCATCCAAAACCTGAAGTGCTCCTATTTCCTTGTTTTCCACGGGCTTGTGTAAGTGGGATTCAGAGCCTAGCAACCCTCCCTGCCAGTGTTTGTGTGGGACAAGATACAACAATTGTCATGTGACACTGAGTCGCTGTCTTCTCACTGGGAACATGAAAGAAAGCACTTTATTAACCCCAAAGTGACTTTCTTTGCTTTGGCATTGAGCTTCTGCCCCCTGAGAACCTTTCCCTGCCGACTTCCTGATACAGATTTAAGGGGACAGCCCGCAGGTCCTCACACTTCTGACTGACACTTCACTGGAGGTACTGTGGTGGCTGTTAAAAATGCAGCACATATGCTCGCCTAGTGGTATACTGGTATTGTCATTCTTCCGCCCCCCTGCTTTGTTCTCCCTTAGAAGAGGAAACAAGCTTGAGAGCTCTGTGGCCTCTGTTGACAAATGTTTCCCGCTGCAGCTAGCAACTTTTATCAACCTATTGCAAAGTCTCCTGCAAACTGGCTCCCAGGCCTTGGCTGTTTATGGAAAGATCCTTTCACCTGTCACAGAAACACAGCCACTTTGGGGCGGAAACCCGACAGCTGTCCCGGTGCTTCAGAAAACCAGGCAGCCCTTTTGGGACTGGAGGTAAAGAAGAAGAATGGAAAAACCAAGGACCCCATAGGGCAGCATTTCTCAACCTGTGGATCATGACCCAAAAGTGGGCTGCAAGAATATATGGAAGGGTTGTGAACCACCTTTAAAAATGGATTCTCCTTTAAAAGGAGAAAAACGTGGGGAACTGGGGGTTTTCCCTTGCAGGCTGGCAGGTACAGCCTGCAAGGGGCTGCTTGGGGCCCCCCATGCCCCACACACCCACCAGTGTGTGGGGCAGAAGGCAGTGGGGCAGGAGTGAGGGGCACTCAGCACCATACCTAGACTCCTGGTGGCCCAGGAAACTTTTAGTATTGGCCCCCCCCTTTGCCAGAGATAACAATCACGATGATGATAACAATCATAATAATAATCACCATTTTCAGGCCCCCTTTCTGTCCGGGCCCTGGGTAGCCACCCGGTTCGCCCATGCCTGTGTCCAGCCCTGGGGGCACCCACCATTGATGTTTACAAATGGGTCCCGGTACCAAAAAGGTTGAGAACCACTGCCTTAGGGGAGGGGGCCGGATCCGGCAGTCCCGGCACAGCCGAAATACCTGGGGCGAGGCGAGGGGTGAAGCAGAAGAAAGCCAGGCTGGGGTGCCAGCATAGGGGCTAACCTTTTACCCCTCCACTGTGTGCCGGGGTGGGGGGGAATCTTCCACGGCTCTGCCTATGGCTCGGCCCTTCACACACACAGTTAATTTGCTCCATGAGTAATTTGTACGTTATTGAGAGATTTCCTGGCGTCACAGCTGCCCCCCTCGGGGCGCGGGTGGGTGCAGTACGCACACGCGCTCGGGGCTATTTTTAGCGCGCGCCGGTCCCCCAGATCACCCCCAGTGCCACCAGGCCGCCGGAGCCGGAGCCAGGCGGGCACACGTGCCC